CCAGGGTGTAAAATCCACTGCGGAATTAGTGTGCAGGTGGTGTGGTTAGTATCGGAATTAGAGGGGTTTGTCCTTGAAGTCACTTAGTCTTTGCCTCTACGTGCACACGTTCTTGCCTCTTCGATTTACGACTCAAGTGTACAAGTATTATCAACGGCGCATTTATGTTTTATGTTTACTTTATATAGCACCGTAAAGGATGTTTTAGTTAAGCATAAACTATGAAAATGGAGTCATTGTCAAACACGAACAGCTGTGTCTATTGAATGCTATTTAGTGTACACAATTACTAGTTTTATCCATAAGTTTTTGCATTTTTAGCTAGTTTATAGCTTAGGCATTTGGTAACGAATTTATTGTTGCTATTAGTCAATACGTTTTATGGAAAAATGTACAATTTATTTAAGCAATTTGTGCTTTTCAGTATCAGTGTGTGCGCATGCATGCGTACGCGCGCGCGCGCGCGCGTGTGTGTGTGTGTGTGTGTGTGTGTGTGTGTGTGTGTGTGTATGTAGGTGATACTACACGACTATGCGGCTCGATTCGATCACTCATTCATGCACGTATTTGCGCACAAATCGTATTACCGTAATACCGCTTCGAACTCGTTACTTCTATATAAAAGTCTCAAGTCTTACTATAATTCACTGCCACGATTATCCTCATTACATCACGATTATCATCACGATTAGATAAGGCAAACTGTTGCCACAGCAATGCATACTGCCAGCGCCTTATACAGAATTTTCCATATTGCATTTATAATTTACCATTATTTACCATGATCATTACCATAATTACCATTATCATTACCATTACTACCGTTAATATTACCATTATTACCATTATCTTTACAAACGGCGTTTGTTCTCTTGTCTTGAAGGTTTTCTACAGTCCAAGCAAATCAGTCAAGAAACGGCATGATATTTGGGTTAATTTACTCAAACCCATGTTGTTTTAAAAGAAAACATACTAAAAACTACTTTAACCTAACTTACAGAAAGTTCGGGAAAGTTTTTGGTAGATAATTGGGGATTTTGGCTACAAGTCATGGAGGCTGACATCTTGCCAAATTCCAGCCAATCAGAAGGCGCCTAAATCCTTCCTATGTTATACCGTTTGGGAAAAACAATTTCGCTAGCCGCGCGTATAATAGCCTATGCGCGATACCGCGCGTGCATATTTTCAAATTCATTAAACTAACCGCGCGTTATTAAATTCAATACGAACACAGATCATAGCTAAGACATTGTCTACACGTATGTGGATTTCTAGAAATGTCTGTTATGGAGCGATTAGCATATAACCAAGTAAAGAAATATTTATGAGAAAATTCCTTACTAAACGAATTCATATCTGGCTTTTCAACAAACACGAGTTTAATCCGTTTAACCGATTTTATTCGTAATGAATCTGACAACGGAAATCTATCTAGTATTCCTTTATGAGATCTGCAAAAAAACGTTTGATACCGTTGACGATACAATTTTACTTACCAAGCTAAACGAGATTGAAATGGATAGTAGGACTGTGAAATTGTTTGGTGCTTGTCTCTCTGGTAGAAGTCAAGTAACAGACGTAGGAGGTGCCTTTTCTAATAACCCTATTAAATATGGAGTACCACAAGGCTCGATTTTGATTCCACTGGCATTCCTAATATGATATGGCAGATGCAGTTTATGTCAAGCACTTATTATATGCTGATTATTCAGCCTTGGTAGCTTCAGGGACGTGTATAGGCTATACAGGAAGAACAAAGTAGAGAATTGCAATCCGTAATTAGCCAAAACGCACAAACGGAGTTTACTGGATGCCCTAGAGTTGCCGACGGAAGCAGTATTTCGCTGAATTTCTGAAATTTTTCTAGAGAGCACGTCGTCAGCACTAGGTGCATGCAATAAAAAATTCCGCTAGCGTCTGAGGCCGTCGCAGAGGCGACGTCGGAAAGTTGGGTATACGTATATATTATGTGCATATCGCTGTCGGCCGTACGAAAAAGATGGCGCTCTGCAATTCGCAAATACCCAGGCGGTCGCCGAATTTTACCATGTTTTCCTATAGGCGGATACCCCGAAAATAATTTGAATGCATAATTTCGCCTCATGCTCTATATTTTCGGTGCGAACGGGCATGCGGAAATCCGATATTTCCCCTTGTTAAACTAAGAAATTATTCGAAAAGTGTATAGTGGAATTATATAAAGATATATTAAACTAGAGCACTCGGAGAGCGCAGACCTCCGCCAAGGCAGCTCAATTCTCTCACTGTGGAAAATTTTATTAATTAATTAATTGGATCCGGATCACCACCAAAATGTCATGAATTCTAAGTTACCCCATTTCTGACGTATCCTGAAAATTATTATCATTACCATTATTAATATTATCATTAACATTATTAAGATTATCGTTAACATTATTACCATTATTACAGTTATCATTAACAATATTACAATTATCATGAACATTATTAACACTGTTACTACGATTCCAGTGTTTCTGCTCTAGCAGGAGGTTTGCACTAATAATCACAACGTAATCATCATCGATTACAATATATTGATTAATAATAACGAGATCGCTATAAATAATATCCGGAGTCATCAAATACAAATCACTAGCTGATCGATAATCGATACTCACAGCGACGTATAATCACACGAGTTCGATTCGCGTGAGCAATTCGCTGCCGATGAAGTAATCGAGGCGCGTGATTGTGCGCTATGTTAAAGAACTAGCAAGCAGCTTATCATGCGACCATACGCATCGCAGTTGATTACGTTCCTCCGAGAGGGGATCGCCGTAAGATCCCATAAAAATAATACTAGTTAGACTATATATATATGTATATGTGTGTGCGTATGTGTGTGTGTGTGCGTGCGTGCGTGCGTGCGTGCGTGTGTACGTGCGTGCGTGCGCGCGATTGTCTATATACTTCAATCTATTGAGGCACCACAGTCGCGCTTTACTCTCCCCCCCCTCCTTTTCAAATTATTTTCGCAGTTTGGCCGGCGGCCGCCATATTGACTCATCAGCAAGTTGCAGACAACCGAGAACCTTGTTTACAGTTGCCGACCGATAACCGTGTATTAATTTGCGCCGACAAGCTCGGCCTGTATGTGGGCATTGATCGTCGGGAAACGGAGAAATAAACGCTGCATGGGCTGGTTGATACTGCAGAAATCTGCCGCTGCGTATATATATATATGTGCGGGCGGCTGTGATGATCTGTACAAAGGTCTCGCGTATATAGACAGTACTACGAACGTACTGGTGAGAGCGAAATCTCCGACGAGATGCGAGTATTTGCTGCTCCAGTGGCTGCAGGTTGGCGGCGGAAGGGATAGATTTTCTGCGAAATCTTTCCATGAGTGTATCGGGATGGGATTTGTTGACGATGGGAGATATTGAAATAATTGCCCATTTAGGTTTCACCGTTGGGAAACCGCTTGAGTGATTAGCACTGCTATGATCGTGGATTTGCTCAAGTATATTTGGCAATTATTTAATTAATTATCAAATTTATTAATTAATTAATTAGCGAGTGAATAATTAAATATTAAGTGAATGAATAAATGCATAAATAAATGAATGAATGAACGAATGAACGAACAAATACCTAAATACATAAATTAATAAACAAATAACTATGAGTAAGCACAATGTACACGCAACGCTATTCTTCTTCTTACAAATCTATGGTGTTTCAAAATTGCCGTCGCGTCGTGTTTTTTATTCATTCCTCAACCACGGCATCGCCCTTGTCAAACACGACGTCGCGCATTTTCAAACGCGACGTCGCGCATTTTCAAACGCGACGTCGCCCTTTTTCAAACACGACGTCGCCCTTTTTCAAACACGACGTCGCCCTTTTCAAACGCGACGTCGCAATTGTTTAACCGTGTTCCATAAATGCAATCGTGCGGCGTGCGGCCCATCTAATTGTCAAAGTAGGGCGTAAAAGCAAAAAAACACAATCAGAAGAATGAGGCAATTATATGCGAGCGAGCGTAAAACTGCTCGCAAAAAGTGGTCGAAATTAGATGGGCCGCACGCCGCGCGATGGCATTTATGGAACACGGTTAAAAAAGGGCGACGTCGCGTTTGAAGAAGGGCGACGTCCTGGTTAAAAAAGGGCGACGTCGTGGTTGAAAAAGGGCGACGTCGTGTTTGAAAAAGGGCGACGTCGTGTTTGAAAAAGGGCGACGTCGTGTTTGAAAAAGGGCGACGTCGTGTTTGACAAGGGCGACGTCGCGTTTGAAAATGCGCGACGTCGTGTTTGACAAGGGCGACGTCGCGTTTGAAAATGCGCGACGTCGTATACATACATACGAACTCAAATATATATTAGATTATTATATTATGTATTATATAATATATAATATACATCCTTCATACATAATAAGCACCATTGCGATAGCTCAAGGGTTGAGTGCTCGCCTCGTATGTGGAAGGTCGGGGGTTTAACTCCCGGCCGGGTCATACCAAAGACTTGAAAAATGATACACACGGCTTCTCTGCTTATCATTCAGCAAATAGAGATAGAGTGTGGCAAGTTAACTCGCAGTGCTACCAGTGGACTAACCCCCTACTGTAGCATTTACTGTGAAAGCAGCTGCGGGGCCTCAGGGTTACTGAAACGGAGATAGGCTCCGCCCTATGCGCCATGTAGCTATGCGCTATGCGTATGAAGGCGGGGGAAGGATTTAACTTTAACATAATGCTACCCGTATACTCCCTATCGAGTACGACGTAAAATTTAGGAATTCTCACAGCGCCATATAATTTAAGCTCAAATAAGTTGAGTTAGCCACGTTAGCATCATCGTTAATTATTGTATGTATTACGTATGTATGTATTACACGCCGATACCTGCTTGTGTAATACAATACGCCAATAAAATGTATTTGTGAGTTACGTGGGTTACGTTAGGTTCATCCCCAAGTACTCGACGAATACGCGTACACGTCCACAATTACTGAATCATTTGATTACTTTTAGGAATGCTCTAAGAATTAACACGCTTGCTGTTAAAGATCTGATAGCGATCGGCAGGAACTGCAAACATCTTGAGGTGAGCAAATTCAATAGTGTTCAATTTTGGTGCGATAATCTTGCGTTCCTGTGTGTTCTTCACTCTAATCACAAGTAAATTCACTGAGCAATGCCAACAACAGTTTGTCTTCCTACTGTAGGCCATCGTTCACACATCTACAGCGTTTGTACAGCCATCACTTAATCTAATAGAGGAAAAATTCTACGAATTTCAAGGCGACTACAGCGATATTATCACCACTGTGATGTGAGCTCCTATCATTAACTGTAGTCGGTGATGTACTTATTTGTTATCATTACTATTATGTATTATTATATTATATATTATTATATTATTACATTATATTATTATTATATATTATCTATTATCTATTAGTTTATATTATGACACTATTGCTGATATCATACCCATAATTTTACTAGTGTACCGGCGAGTGTACGCAAACAGTACATACTGCTAATTGGCGATTTTCAATTCCAATAATTAGGGATGGCGACGACGCGGCAGCGGAACGTATAACCCCAGAGCTTCTTGGCGACGCACCAAACACCTACGTCTACACAAAACACATGGCAGAATGCATGTTGGCGGACGAGGCGAGTGACCTTCCGATAGCTGTCGTCAGGCCAACCTTGGTGACCTCCACGTGGAAGGACGACCCGATATGCGGCTGGACGAGTTCGATGGCTCACCTGAGCGGTATCTTTATCATTGTGAGCCATTTCATATAACGTGTCCGCCATATCAGACGCGAGATTGTTGCGCTGCAATGTCACAGAACAAACAACAAATAAAAGCAACCAATGCAATCTATCTCTTTATCAATCTATCTATCTATTTATCTATCAATCTATCTATCTATCTATCTATCTATCTATCTATCTATCTATCTACTCTTCTACTCTATCTATCTATCTATCTATCTATCTATCTATCTATCTATCTATTTATCTATCTATCTATCTATCTATCTATTTGGAAAACGGTTATCTACTGAGTCGGCAATTTCTTCCAGGTTGCAAGAGGCTACTTGCGAGTGAAGCTGGCACAACCTGATATTGAGGTAGACATCATACCCGTGGACCTCGTGTCGAACTGCATCATTGCAGCAGGTTGGAGGCTGGGCACCAACAAGCCCACCCCCACGATTCCCATCTACAACAGCAGCAGCACGGGGTTCCAGCGGATGACCTGGGGCGAGCTTAGTAAGTTTCAACAGACGTATAAACGATAAAAATGAAAGAATATTTCTCCGTCTCACTTAACGATAGATTCTACCGCTGCGTCCAGCAGCTGCTGATAGAGTTATAGCTACAGATAGAGTAAAGAGATAAGTTTCCAAGTCGAAAAATAGGGGAAAGAATTGTTTTTAATAATCTGTACAAAATCATCAATGTACTCGATATATGTCATACACCGTGGAAGACGGAGCTGAATCGTTTAAAAACAAGTATTCATGCAGTACTGTAACATGTGTTTTGCAGGTGTTGCATGAATTAGTCAGCGAGGCTAAGCTGGGGGGTGTTTTGGTGATGGTCTGTGTAGACGGAGCGTCGCGCATCTTGTGCGGCTGGATTGATGTTATGGGGAGAATGGTAAACGTGTTTTAGGTCGGGCGCTTCTAGGGTCATTGTGAAAAGGGGGGTAGGACGCGGTCTGGGAGAACGGGTACTTGTGCGCTCAGGATGTAGGGGTTTTGGGGGAATATATAGAACAGAGATGTAGGAGTCGGGGGTCTGGTTGTGTTCGCGAGAGGAAGCACACGCGCTTACGCGCGTGTGCGCGTTCTTTGTTTCTTTGTGCAAGATGGACACACTGTGTGTAAGATATTAAAGTTTATTCGGGTTACCACACAAGTTTGGATTTCTACTTCATCATTTCTACATGAACTCTTAATTCAACGTTACAGTACATATTATACATTTGTCACGCTTACTAGCTGTTTTGGGATTTTTTTTCTGTAGCCAAGATAATGCTCTACCAAATGCAATCGCGACCGTTTAATGACTTGGTGAGATCTCCGCATGTCTACTTGGTGAAGTCCTTGTGAGTAAATTACCAGTTGGAATATCTGAGTATAACGGGTAGCCCCGTTCTAACCTATAAAAATATAGATTCATAGATTATTTAAATATATGGTAAATATAGAGATATGTTTAATAATTGTATCGTTGAAACTAAGAGTGCCAGCAAACAATTGGATCCGAGATTCTGACCCTTTATAGTGTATACTCCTTATATAATGTACATGTTCGCTTCATATGTTAGCGGTGTTGGAAATGCGGGTTCGTTATTCATTTCCTATCCTTTTTTTTATAGTATTTGCTTGTGTTGTTTGCTCAGATCACTGCTATTCATCCTGTCAAAGATATACCACGATGCGCCTGCGATCATATTGGATGTTTTATCGGGAATGCGTGGAAAACCAACGAGGCATGTAACATCTTACACGTATTTGTAACTAAACGACTTGATCGGTCATTAGTAATATAATTACACATTAAATCAGTTCATTCGGTTGGTAGACTAATATAAATAACACGGTTAATTTTTACTCATCGATGGCGATGGCGATGGCGATGACGATGGCGATGACGATGGCGATGGGGATGACGATGGCGATGGCGATGGCGATGGGGATGACGATGGCGATGGCGATGCATACAAATCCGTGCATTCGCGTGCGTTTCCAACCATCGCAGCTAAGCTCTGCAGTGTATTGTCTGCGACTAACATTCATCCCATCGCGCGCGCGAGAACACTAATGACTAGATAATGAACCGACTTAGCGCCTCTTTGCATCTTGGCTTGCGGACGCGGGTCCACCAGCGGCAGCGGGAAGGGAACAAGAATCCAGGATAGCGTGTCCCGAAACGCAATACCCCCCACCCGATGCACTGTTGTCATGACAGCAGCAGGATGCAGTAATCCTGCTACGCATCCATTAATTCCGCGGTGGCTTTTGCGCGGATGCGAGCGAGACGTCCATCGCGGTTAAGTCGTCGGCGTGGAGCGGTGCAGTGCCGACGAGAAATGTAAATGATAGTGACACGTCGATTGTCGCGCGGCCAGCTTTATTCAGGAGATAACGGTCGGCTGTGCGACTAAGCTCCGAGTCTGGAGCAACTACGGCATGGCAGCTTCATGTACTATTACCTATAAAGATCTATTCGCTCTCGTTACAGGAGCTATACGAACAATAGATCACGCTCGCCGTAGCTCTACCTGTGTAGTCCTTCGCTCACGCTACAGGGGTGTACAAACAATATAGCTATACCTGTGTGGCCCTTCGCGTTCGCTACAGGGCTATACAACCCCACAGTTCACGCTCACCGTAGCTCTACCCGTGTAGCCATTAGTTCCCGTTACAGGGCTATACGCCCACCGTAGCTCTACCCGTGTAGGACTTTACTCCCGCTACAGGGCTATACGAACAACAGTTCACGCTCAACGTAGCTCTATTCACATAGCCCTTCACTCCCGCGCTACAGGGCTATACGAACAACATAGCTCTACCCGTGTAGCCATTCGCTCCTACTACAGGGCTATATTAACAACATAACTATATACCCGTGTAGACATTCGTTCCCGCTACGGGGCTATATATACGAACAACATAGTTATACGCGTGTGGTCCTTCGCTCCTGCTACAGGGCTATACGAACAACATAGGTATACCCGTGTAGCCATTCGCTCCCGCTACGGGGCTATACGAACAACATAGCTCTACCCGTGTAGCCCCTCGCTCCTGTTACAGGGCGACAATGACCCACAGTACAGTGCTGAGAAACAGTAGTGAATCTTTGCTGCATTGCAGACTAATCTTTTGCATTGCAGCATTGCAGGCTTTAGCCGTAGCCGGTGATACAAAAAAAAATCCAACCGACAAGACAAACGTCTTGACTTCGGCCTGCCACTCTCGAATCAAACTGAGCTCACTATAATTTGGCCAAATAAGGGTGTTTACCGAACCGCAAACGAACCCAAAACAGAAATACGTCGTCATGTCTTATTCGAATTGCAGTGGCGCTAGTGGGCGAGCACCAGTCAGCCTGCCATGATGCAAATATTCACTGTCGTTTCTTCGCATCAATTTTGTTTGTGTAGCCCTGTAGCGGGAGCGAAGGGTTACACGGGTAGAGCTAGATGACCTTATCTGATTATGTGCTTATCTGATTCTTCATAAATAATACATTTTACCAAGAGCGTATAAAGAAGCGTAATATCCTTCTTTATACGCTCTTGATTTTACTCGCAGTGCCTGCTGGTTGAATATAAACCTTCCCCCCCGACTCGGCCACCTTCGCGAAATATCGTCAATCTCCGGCAACGTCACCCGAGTTGGAGCCAATCAGAATCAGGGCGGTGCAGCAGACGATACTTTGACGCTGTTTACGCTGGTGGCATGGCAAACTGACTCGAAGGACTAATCAGACGTCGTCAGTATTCTGCTTGACCGTTCGGAAATAATTCGATAAAAACGGTGAATGTACGACAGTAGTCGGCGTGAAAAGATCTGTTATTATGCTACAGCTAGCACCTATATACACGGCGTCGGAACACCCTTCCCATAATAATCACAGCATGCGCCATTTCCTGCGCTTTTTATTAGAATTTATTGCGGAGAACGAAAAAAACGAGCAAAGTTTTTTTTGAGTAAATATACGCGCCTATTAAAAGTTTCGCCCGACGTGAAATTATGTTATATATATGTATATGTATATGTTTGTGTGTGCGTGTGTGTGTGTGTGCGCACGCGTGCGTGCGTGCGTGCGTGCGGCGTGCAACGCACACAGCACACACGTGCGCGCAGCGACGACACACACGACACACACGCCACACACGACGACACACACACACACTCATTTACACAATACAAAACACAGCCCATGCCACGCCACGCACGCGACACACACATGACGAGCACACACACACACCACACACAACACACACACACACACACACACACACACACACACAACACACAACACATATATCATATATATATATATATATATATATATTATATAATATCAAGAGCAGATAAAGAAGGCTTTTCTTTATCTAGCTCTTGATATAGACACACACAGCACACAGCACACACACACACACACAACACACACACACACACACACACACACACACATACACACACAACACAACACACACACACACACACACACACACACACACAACACACCACACACACACACACACACACACACCACACACAGCACACACACACACACATACACACACAACCGCCCATGCCCCACGCGCACGCACGCACCGCACGCACCGCAGTCGCAACACACACACACACGCACACACAACATATCATATACATAGTAATAACAATCTTCACGTCTCGGGCGAAATTTTAATAGGCGCGTTAATTTACTCAAAAAAAACTTTGCTCGTTTTTGTCGTTCTCCGCAATAAATTCGACATTAAAAGCGAGAATGGCGCCATGCTGTTGATATATTATGGACAAGGTGTTCCGACGACGTTATATAGGTGGTAGCTGTAGCATAATAACCAGATCTTTCACCGCCGACCTACTGGTCGTACATTCACCGTTCTTTATCGAATTATTCCGAACGGTCAAGACAAATACTGACGCACGTCTGCATATAGTCCGTCGAGTTCAGTTCTGCCATGCCCACAGCGTAAAAACCAGCGTCAAAGTATCGTCTGCTGCACCGCCACTGATTCTGATTTGGCTCCAACTCCTGGGTGACGTGTGGGTGTGTGCCCGCGAGATTACGTATTTTCGCGTGAAGTAGCCGAGTCGGGGGGAAAGGTTATATTCAACAGCAGCGCACTGCGAGTAAAATTCAAGAGCGTACTAAAGAAGAATACGCTTCATTTATACGGCTCTTTGTAAATGTATTATTATTGAAGAATCATGATAAGCACATAATCAAGAATCAGAGGTCATCGTAGCCTCTACCCGTGTAAACCGTTTCGCTCCGCTCTACAGTCGCTACCACGAACAAAATTTTTGGCATGCGAGAGAAAGCGACAGTGACATATTTGCGCAGCCATGGCATGGGCTGACTGGGTGCTCGCGCCACTAGCGCGCACTGCAATTGCGAATAAGACCGGACGAGCCGTATTCTCTGGTTTTAGGTCGTTCGTCTTTGCCGGTTCGGGTAAAACCCTTATTTGGCCCCAAATGGATAGTGAGCTCAGTATTGTTCGGAGCAGTGGCAGGGCCGATAAGTCAAGTAGTTTGTCTTGTCGGTGGATTTGTTTTGTATCACCTCGGCTACGGGCTTGACAACGCCATGTGCAATGGCTGCAATGCAAAAGTATTAGATCTGGCAATGCCAGCAAAGATCACTTACTGTTTCTCAGCACTGTGGGTCATTATCGCGCCCTTGACAGGAGCGAAGGGCTACGTACGGGTAAGCTATGGTTGCTTCGTATAGCCCCGTAGCGGTGACACGCGATTGGCCTACTACGGCGCCGCTTATACCTGTGTTGTTCGTAGTAGCCCGTGTAGCCAGAAGCGAAGGACCACGACGAGGTAGGCTATGTTGTATCGTAGTTATTAGCCCGGTAGCGGACGAATGGCTACCAGTATTACCTTAGTTGTTCATATAGCCCTGTAGCAGGAGCGAAGGACCACCACGGGTATAGCTATGTTGTCTTATATATAGCCCGTAGCCAGGAGCGAAAGGGCCCCACACGGGTATAGCTATGTTGTTCGTATATAGTAGACCCCCGCTAGCGGGAGCGAGGGCTACACGGTAGACGCTAGGTATGTTCGTTATCAGCCTGCTAGCGCGGGAGGAAGGGCTATGTGAATAGAGCTACGTGGAGCGGAACTAGTTGGTTCGTATAGCCCTCATGTCATCGGAGTAAAAGTCATCCACGGGGGATAGAGCTACGGCTGGGCGTATAGCCCGTGTTAGCGGAGCTTTTAAAATGGTACACGGGTAGAAGGCTGACGGTTCAGAGCGTTGCAACTGGCTGGGTCGTATAGGCCCTGTTAGCAACGCGAAGGCGCCACACAGGTATAGCTAATGTTTGTACATCCCTGCTAGCGTGAGCGAAGGGACTTACGACTACACGCGGTAGAGCTACGGTCGAGCGTGATCTATTAGTTCGTATAGCCCTGTCACTGCTAACCGAGCAGGAATGGCCTACACGCGAGTAGATGTTTATAGACTCAATCGTACAATGCAAGCTGCCACTGCAGTAGTTGCCTCCAGACTCCGGAGCTTAGTCGCCACAGCCGACGTTTATCTCCTGCAATAAAAGCTGGCCGCGAACAATGCTGACGTGTCACTATTCATTTGACATTTCTCGATCGGCACTTGCACCGCCTCCCGCCGACGACTTAACCGGCGATGGACGTCTCGCTCGCATCCCGCGCAAAAGCCACCGCGAGAATTACATGGTGCGTAGCCAGGGATTACTGCTC